ACAACAGCACATCAACAGATAGTTATCTGTTTGACGTGGCACGTTCACTCCTCACTTGCCCTGTCTGTCTGTTGGGTTTCAAACTCTTCGCGGGCACGTTTTGCCAGGATGAGAAAGGGGGCACGTATAGTTCGTCTCTCCTCCTCAGTGGTGGGCGATCCTATGAACTCTGTAAGAAGAAGTTCCGTTCCAGACCTACATAGTGTCTATCACCTACCACTTTCACTTCTGCGACTAGCAGAGTCTTCAAGCCCCAAAGCATACAGCATCTCCGCACCTTCTGCTGTCTCGGGAGCTCGAGCATCATTCAATAATGCTCCCTCAGCTGCCGGGGACGGAGCAGCGGTAGCTTCAGGCGTTGGTGCTGGTGCTGGTGCTTGACAACGTTGGCGATTTCCCCGGCGGCCTCGTCGGTTTCTTCTCCCCCTCCCTCTATGCTGTTCTTCCTCCCTCCTTCTACTAGTATATATCCATCTTCTGGCACGACCCCTCCCTCTAGTCATTGCCATCCATCCTCCTAGTCTCGCCACTCTCTGTTCATGATCAGCAGTCGCCTGGGCCATTAACCCAGTTACATTAACGGGTGAGAAATGCGTCCTGCCTTGGACCCGATGGGTTCGGCGTCCACCAGTTTCGATCGTGCATGCACGACATTCTCGCCATCCACATGATCGACACTGCGACATGGCATTCTGCATGTTGAAGAGGTCGCATCTGTCGCAGACATCTTCGTAGGCTTCTATGTACCGGAACTCGGTGTGGACTTCTGCGGCTGGGCTCGCCTCTGCGGCGGTGTCGTTTGGGGGAATCGCGGACTGGGAATTCATGGCGATACGAGTAATGAAACTAGATGTCTCACGTGTTTTACTAGTTGTAATGGTCGAAGTGTAATCGAGGTACAATTAGTAGATAAATCTCCGAAGTATATATACTTCTTCTCTGCCTTCTAGAATACTTGTCTTCGAAAGAAAATGTGGAGACGTGAAGCTGTTGCCCAGGGAAATGCCGACGTGATAGAGTTGTACTTTGGGGAGTTTGAGGGTTATGCACAACATGCTCGTTGGGGCTTATAGTCTATTTATCATAATTGAAGGGAAATGAAGATTAGGCTTATTAGGCTTGGAGGGATATTCCAACACCTACAATGTCTCATGAACTGGGAATAAACCACACAGCCCCTGCCAACCATTTGGGTTTTGAACATTGTCTATCAACTCTAACGGAACTTACAGTTGTTCTACTACTTCATCAATACAGTAACCAGTACTACTAACAACCATTCATTTAGTAGAGAAATGACCGGCAGGTAGATCTAAATTCCAGTAGCCCAGAACGCATACACCAGGTAACAAGAAAGATATTCGGGGAAGAGAGTAGAAAGATGTGAGCTTAGTATGACAAAGAGTTTGCATTTGTTAGCTAAAAGGCAGTATATACAGACCAAGCATGATGATATAAAGTCCCTCTATCATTCTATCATTCTATACGGGAACTTCCCAACGGAAAGCCCCGAACAATCATCACCACCATGTTCCATCTGCGGAGATTGCCCCCTATAACAAGCTTAACTTGTAACAGTGACATACTCATTAGTTACAGCTCCTTCTACATTACATATCCTGTTATTGAAGCAAATGCCATACATGTCTGCCTAAGGCATCCATATAGAGGGAGGTAAAATGATGGAAGGCAATTACTCCTACCGCTTGACTGACCGCCAGAAGCGGCAGAACCTAGCGAACCTCGATCAAAAAAACCTCGGATTTAGCGGGTTTTGGAAACATACAGTTTCCAAATGCTGGTCTGAGATTCTGTTAAAATCCCGGTGCGGTGTGGCAGTATCCTGATGGCCTTGGGCAATATCGCTTCATACCGCCGTAGTGGGTGGGTCCTGGGTTTCCATGACTCGGGCGCTAAACCATATCCGATACCCATATCTGCATCTGCCCATCCCTCCCGTCAACTCTATATCCAACCCAATTGAGTCTGACGACACAACAATAGAATATCCTCCTACATCAGCAATGCAGTTAGAATCCTGCAACCAGTATTCTAACCACACTTTAGCCCTTTGCCAATAGTAGAAAAGATGGCCGAGGGATAAGGCACAGCTGTCCAGGGTCATCTGAATGCGGTCCCGAAAGGGGATACCATTCTTGTCCTGCTTGCGGCTGATTTCAACAAGCCATTCTCTTCTTTGTTACTGCGTTCACCATAGGATGTATTATTCTACTTTGTGGGGTAAACACTATAAGGGGGATAAGGTAAGTATATAAGAAGAGATAAAAAGATATTTACTACATCTCTGGCATCTATAATCATTTTATGCATTTCTTCATTGACATCCGAATACCATGCAACTAGTCATCAGAAAATACTAACATCTAACAATCAGTTCGTCATATTTATCTATTTGTGGGCTGTAATCGTTCGTTAGCTATTCGTTTCTTTTCTCAGAAGAAATCAAAATGGTCGACTCACCAATACCCTCCTCAGCCTGAGGCTCAATGCCAACCACCTCCGCGGCGGGCTTGGTATCATGTGCAGTCTTGTCCTCCTTCATGAAGGGGAAGGCCAGAACCTCCTTGATGCTGTAGTTGTCCGTCAAGAACATGACCAGGCGGTCGATACCCATACCCCAACCACCAGTGGGCGGCAGGCCGTACTCCAAGCTGGTACAGAAGTTCTCGTCGATGATCTGCGCCTCGTCGTCACCCTGGTCCTTCTGGCGGGCCTGCTCCTCGAAACGCAGGCGCTGGTCGAACGGATCGTTCAACTCGGTGTAGGCGTTGACAATCTCCTTCTTGCAGACGAAAGCCTCGAAACGCTCGCACAGACCGACGTTCTGGCGGTGGTACTTGGCCAGAGGAGACATCATCTGGGGGTGGCCGGTGATGAAGGTGGGGTTAACGCAAGTCTCCTCGATGAACTCACCAACCAGCTTGTCGAGCATGCGGGCGTTGGTCATCGGGGGAGAGCACTCAACACCGGTCTTCTTAAGCACACGCTTGAGGAACTCGCCGGTCTCAGCGGTGTGGAGCTGGTCACCCGGAGGGAACTTCTCGCCAGTGGCCTCCTCAAGAGCGGGGATCATCTCCACGCGGCGCCAGGGGGCCTTCCAGTTGACGTTGTAGGTCTCGCCAGACTGAGTGTGGAAGGTGGTCTCGTAGCCACCGGTGATGTGCTTCACGAGACCGGAAACCAGCTCCTCGGTCAGGTTCATGACATCGTAGACATCGGCATAGGCCCAGTAGAACTCGCAAGTGGTGAATTCGGGGTTGTGGGTGAGGTCAATACCCTCGTTACGGAACTGACGACCAAGCTCGTACACACGCTCGAGACCACCGACGATCAGCATCTTCAGGTACAACTCGGGAGCAACACGCATGAACAGGTTCATGTCGAGGTCGTTGTGGTGAGTAACGAAGGGCTTGGCGGTGGCACCACCAGCGATGGCGTTCATCATGGGAGTCTCAACCTCAACGAAGTCGCGGTTGTCGAAGAAGTTGCGGATGTAGCGCACGATCTTGGAACGGGTGACGAAGACGTTACGGGACTTGTCGTTCATGATCAAGTCCAGGTAGCGCTGGCGGAAGCGCTGCTCCTTGTCCTGCAGACCGAAGTGCTCGGACGGGATGGCGTGCAAGCAGGGAGAGAGAAGGACCACCTCGGTAGCGAAGATGGACAGCTCACCGTCGGCACGGTTCTTGGGGCTGGTACGACCGGGGAAACCGACAATACCGACAATGTCACCACGGCGGAGGTGCTCGTGCTGAGCCTCGAAAGCCACGTCGCCAGTGGCGTGCTGAGCCTGAGCGACGACCTGGACCTTGACGCCCTCAGCGCGGATATCGTAGAAGATCAGCTTGGCGCCGGAAGCACGCTTGGTGTAAATACGACCGGCGATGCGGACGGCGACCTCAGGCTTCTGCTCGCCCTTGGCGAGACCCTCATAATCAGTGAGGTACTTGCGCAGATCGTCGGTGACCTGGAACTTGTGGGGGTAGGGGTCGGGGTTCTTGGTCTCGCGCAGCTTGTTGATTCTCTTGCTGCGGATCTCGAAGTATTGCTGTACAAAAATGAGCGGGGATGTTAGCAGAGATGCGACAATGGATCCCCCGACAGCACACAAAGAAGCGCCCCTCAGCGACGAATGGGCAAAGAATGACTCACGTTGGGGGTGAGGTTGGCCTCCTCATCCTCGGCGGAGGTCTTCTTCTCGGCCTTGGGAGGAGCAGCGGCCTCCTTCTCCTTCTTCTTGGCCTCCTTCTCACGGTTCTTCTGGCGTCTCTTCAACTCGGACTTGGAGACCTTCTCGCCGGTCACCTCATCGAGGAGGAGGTTGGCCATGGAGGCCTCGGCCTCCTTAACAGCGTTGTTATCAGCCATGGTGATGGACGGGGGTAATTGCTCAGTCTCAATCACCGTGGGAACAAGACGATGAGAAGGGAAAGAAAGGTAAGTGGAGGGATCGATCGATGACACACAAGATGGTGGGCTGAAGTCGGAGGGAGCGAGAATTTTGGGCGGGAGTCGCCGCCCGCGATCCTCATTGGGCACCGCGAGGGGCAGCTCCCCCCCCGCCCAGCCAGTCCTTAAGTAATCGTCTGTTCTTTGGACTCGGCCTCCTGTTTATCATCATTACGGAAATCTAGCAAAAAGTACCGAGTTTCCCCATTAGTTTGCATTCTAGAGCTGTTAATCTTTCTATCTGACATCTCTCCTTTACCATTGGGTACACGCTGCCATACACCATTCGAGTCTATCGCAAGCAGGGTTTAGGGCTTAGGGCATCAAAGTGGGGTTCCATACCCCGCCTCGATGCTTGCGGTCAATCCCTCCATCATCCATCACTATTCCAGCTTCAACTGCATCTTTTTCCAACATACCCACTCACTTAGTCCAGTTACCATCCTAATACATTTGATCACCAAAGTAGATTTTTTTGTAAACACGCACTGTGGACAGGAAAATGCTCACAACACCTCGTCAAGCTGCAATCAAGTAGTCCAATCGTCGGGAGGCTGGGATTTAATCCTCACATTCTCGAATTGGTCTTCCTGGTCATCCTCTTTCCTCGCTAGCTTTAGCCACTCCTGGGCTTTATCGATTCGCTCCTTTTCTCTGAGAAGGAATTGCCGGCGTCTCTGGCGGTCGGGGTCCTCCTCCATCAGCTCTAGGCAACGTTCCAGTGCTGAAGGCAAGAAAATATCTTAGTATATAATTCCTGCTAGAATGAGTGAAACGTACCGTTTTCATCGAAGATACAAAGCTCTCTTTCGATCTCCTTGATGAGATCGTCACGGCATTTTGCGAACAATTTAGTGTGTACGCTCTGGCATATTGAATCAACGAACCGCGAACTCGCCAAGTCGTAGTACCCGCGACTCGTCTGGCCAGGGCAGTTAGTTTATAGTCGAGGCTTTGGCATGGGATCAACTTACCGCCATCATGGTCAGCTCCTGCGAGAACTGGTCGCGCCCCAGCTCGGCATCTGTAAGCTTTCGAAGCTCAGCTTCCCGTCGGGCGTCTCCTTTAGGGTACTTTCCCTGAGAGTCAAGATAAGACCCAGCGCGGGCGAGCCGACGCCTTTCTGCAAGAAAGCTGTGAGCAGACTTGATTGACTGGTCCAATGCCGAAAGTGCCATTGTGAATGGTTTGTTATACTCAATGTTGAAGTTTTCCTGCGCATGCTCGAAATGAGCAGCTCGTAGCTTATACAAAAAGCTCTCAATGATTCGCTTGAGTTCTCGATAGAGACCCGTCTGATGATATTGCAGAAAGACTTCATCTAGCTGCCTGTGCAGCATGTCCCGGACAAGGCGATAGGTGGCAACCAGAAACACTGACAGTGGGTCGTACCAGTGCTTTACACTCATCTGGTTCATGATCTCAATGGCTTTCGGGTCCGTCTGATCCGGCAGTCCAGCTCGATACGAATCCTCATTTATTCCGCGAATCATCTCCCATGTAAACATCAGGGCGGGAGCGTTGAACTTGTCGAATTGTTCTGTCGAGTAAAAACCATTTCTGACCCCGTTTGTTGCTGAATTTGGATGTTGTCTCCCTTCTGGCGCGACTGAAGTACTTCCAAGCTCACATGGTGACTTGCGTTTGACTGGCTGTGGGACCGTTGTCATCTCACAGTCCGAATCGCTCCCCTCTGCATCGCGGTCCGTCGGGCCAGGGAACCTATCACTTGGAGAGAGCAAGCTCACAGTGGGCCGGGTCTTGATCAGAGCTCGCTTGAAATCCATGGCAATATGCGACCAGATCTTCTGCATGGGATAATTTGCTGACCCACCATCAATATGAGCGCGAATTTGCTCCTTCAGCTGGTTCAACTTCCCACAAATAATATATGGAACATTCGCAGAGGGCGGGTCTGGGAGAGTCCGGAGCTCTGCCTCAATCCTATCTGCTTTGGCGTTGATCTCCTTAATAAAATCCGGTAGGCATCCTTGAATCTGCTCAAGAAGCAGCGAGGAGAGTGTCGCCTGTAAATTTCGGGTCCCGAACTTGTCTCGATAAAGAGCCAGATCAGTGGCCCAGGGCTCTCCCGCGAAGAAGGCTTCTTCCTCTTCTCGAGCGACGGAGTGCTCGACCGCGGGGTCAGGATTGTTACGAACAACAAAGTACCCGTGGCCAAGCGAGAACTTGTCTCCTTCGAGTATTTCAATCCATTGGGCATAAGATTCTCCTGTCTGAATGCGATCGGGCTTTGTCAGAACACCCATTGCCCTTGCGTTTGCTCCAGAGGTGGTTTGCACGATCCTTGCAGCGCTTGAATTCGTGGCATCATTCGTCATTGGCAACGTCAGCAAGACAATACAGTGCTTCTGCAAAATGTAGTGCTTGACAAGGTTCTCGACCAGATGAACAAGATAGCGTTCTCCTTCCTGTTCGGCTTGGCTTATGACACCGGGCAAATCATAGAATGACAAGTCAGGAAATCCCGGTGCAGCAATATCTAAGCGCACGACGTTGGGTGAGAATTTTACTTGACAGTAATCAGGATCTGTTTCACTGTTTTGCCCGGGCAAATACTCGCTGGAAGGTCTGCCTGGGTTTAAAATGGCGAGCTGCGCCCATCTAATCACTTCGACGAGGGCGAGCTTGTCTGTCAGTGTTGTAAAAAGCTCATCTTCTTGTTGTTCTTGCTCCAGCCAAGGTCCGAGAGGCTGGGACTTCTTCGAAAATTTACCGCCCTTCTTAGAGGCATCATACATGTACTTCCGCGACAAGAAGACCTTGCAAGTCCATGGCTGATCAGGTTCCCCTTCACAGAGATTGATCTCCATTGGACATCTGGTGCATGTCCCCGCGCTTCGTGGCACCTTGATCTCGCTCATTCCCTCGATCAAAGAGCTCTTACCGGCACTCTGGTCACCAATGACGCAGATTTTGGGTAGCACAATCATCTTGTCCTCAATTCCGAGGTGGCGTAGGTCCTGGATCTTCCGAACAAGCTCCTTCATGTCGCTGGCAATCAGATCTATGGAGTCCACATTGGGGGCTTCGGGAGGAGCCATCTTGCTAGCCTGGGAAATAGCTAAGAAGGTGTAAGTGATGGTTGAAGGTTGAATCGGTCAGTAGGACTCACTGGGAGATATACTTTCTCGTTCAGCCGTCTGGTTGCTGAATGGGGTTCGTCGTATCTCCAGGGTGAGTAATGACATAAACGGTCCGTAGGAGCCTAGGAGATTAGAGACCTGATGGGATCGAAAGAGCGTGAGTGAGGTGAGAAACAGAGAGTTACAATGAGACGAGAAGAATCTCAGACTAATGGAGAAAAGTGTGCTATTGAAAGCCTGACTGTGTGATAGAAGTACAGAAGTTCAACGTTGGGAGGGGAGTGTTATGAAGCACTTCTTTTCCAGTGAATGGTAGGGGGCAAAGGAGGTTTTGAGTCCAAGCGAGAACTAGAGATGCAGGCCATGATCAATTTACCAACAAAAATATAGAGTGAATGGATGTGTAAACACGGCAAAAATAGAGTGAGATCTATAGAAAGATTGTGCCAGAGAGGTCAATTTAACATCTGCAGGAACCCTGACAGCAGCATGAAACGAAGCCAAATCGGGAAGATTGCTGTGTTGTCGGACATGATTGGAGGACTGGGTTAGTATCGAGAAGCAGCCACTGTTTGAAAAAAGTATGTGATGATGTCGGAGCTGAAAGTGAGTTGATCTATCCTTTTTCCATGAATTACGCTCCCAACCCTGTAAGCTATAAGTAATATGATAGTACTCCGTACACCGTAGTGCCAAAGGTGAGGAAGTAAGTAGATAGATGGAGGTGAGATGGTCCCGAGAAAAGTGGAAACCCCAGGCTGAAAGCGGTGGAGAGGAGTCAGCCAGTCAGGTGCCGCCAGCCAACCAATGGCACCTGAATCCATCAATTCAGTCCCGTGTCACTCTCTCAGGCTCTCTCTTTCTCCTGACCTGTTCCGGAGAGCGCTAAGACTTAAGGAGAGCTGGCGGTGGGCCTGGACAACAACTTACTGCTCGCTCCCCCTCGGCCTTGTCCTGCGTCTTTTCCCCCTCGTTCCTTTTTCCAAATCTTTACGACTCTTAATCTATCAATCTGTCTGTGCTCGAGATTTGGCCTCACCTTTCATTCCTGAACACCAACCCCCCACTTATATACCCCCCACCTTTCCAATGCTTCAAGTTCCAGTGCGGGAGCACACCAACGTGGCCTCCACCAAGGCTGTGATCTTGGTATGTGACGCTAGTGACTTCTGCCTCCTGTATCAATCTCGCTGACGGAATTTTTCCTTACTTAGGTCGGAGGTCCGTCTAGAGGAACGCGCTTCAGGCCTCTGTCCCTTGACATGCCCAAGGTTGGTTGCCCCTCTCTGCCTTAGCTATCCCGCAATTCATGAACCCCTCCGCACCAACCCTCGATTTCGTCACCCGCAAGCTTTGTCGCCGCTACTCATACTTGGATTCCTTGTTAGCCCCTCTTTGAAGTCGCCGGTCACCCTATTATCCACCATTGCCTGAAAGCTCTCGCCAAGATCCCCGATATTCGTGAGGTCATCCTCGTCGGCTACTACGATGAAACCGTCTTCCGCGACTTCATTAAGGACTCCGCCAAGGAGTTCCCTCAGTTCAAGATGCAATACTTGCGTGAATACACGGCTCTGGGCACCGCTGGCGGTCTCTACCATTTCCGCGATGCCATCTTGAAGGGCAAGCCCGAGCGCATCTTCGTCCTCAACGCTGACGTCTGCTGCTCCTTCCCCCTTGGCGAGATGCTCAAGCTGTTCGAGGAGAAGGATGCGGAGGCCGTCATCCTCGGAACAAGAGTCAACAACGATGCCGCCACCAACTTCGGTTGCATTGTTTCCGATTCCCATACCAGACGGGTTCTGCACTACGTTGAGAAGCCTGAGTCGCACATCTCCAACCTCATCAACTGCGGTGTCTACCTCTTCGCCACCGAGTGCATTTTCCCCTCCATCCGCAGTGCTATCAAGCGCCGTACCACCCGCCCTCGCCTGCTGTCATACCCTTCGTCCGAGAACTTGGAGTCCTCTTTCATCGCAGCGGAGGACGAGGCAGAGAAGAGCGAAGTCCTTCGTCTGGAACAGGATATCCTCTCCGATCTGGCCGACAGCAACCGTTTCTTCGTCCACGAGACGAAAGATTTCTGGCGCCAGATTAAGACGGCCGGTTCCGCCGTGCCCGCCAACGCCCTTTACCTCCAGAAGGCCTTCCAGGCTGGATCTGACGAACTGACCCCTCCTTCCGCTGCCATCGTGCCCCCAGTCTACATCCACCCCTCCGCAACAGTGGACCCGACAGCGAAGTTGGGCCCCAACGTTTCCATTGGACCCCGTGTGGTCGTGGGCGCAGGCGCTCGTATCAAGGACTCGATCGTGTTGGAAGACGCCGAAATTAAGCACGATGCATGCGTGATGCACTCGATCATCGGCTGGAGCAGCCGCGTTGGTGCCTGGGCCCGTGTTGAGGGTACCCCGATCCCCACGGGCAGCCACTCGACCAGCATTGTCAAGCACGGCATCAAGGTCCAAAGCATCACCATCCTGGGCAAGGAGTGTGCCGTGGGTGACGAGGTACGGGTACAGAACTGTGTGTGCCTGCCGTTTAAGGAATTGAAGCGCGTATGTAACCCCATCCATCCACATCATCTCGAAACATGAGGCTAACAATATTCCCAGGACGTCGCCAACGAGGTTATCATGTAAAAGGAACATGTGACGTTTTGGATGTGACATGCATATTCTATGATATCTGTTCTCTTCCCCTCTATCTTTGGTCCCAATCGACCATTCTGGCTACGCCCTTATTGGCGGTCGGATTGCCGAAACTACATGCTTAGATCTAGCTCCAACCTAGAAACGGACCATGAATGAATGAATCATGTGTCCGTGGATATCTCCCAAATAATATGCTAATATCCCTTCATAAGCTGGATTATCATCCAAGAACTTGCTATAAGGTATTCAGGTATCTAATACTAAACTATCCAAGTCATATGACAACCAGATCAAATGGCATTATCGCTGAAGACAAATAAAAGAAAAGTAAAAATTCCTGCATTACGCCCGCCAGCATATGAACCTATTCAAAAGTCAAGGAACTATACCCATTTTACAATGCAAGATCGTAACACATCAGTTCAGTTCGAAGGGCGTGAGAAAGCCAAGATAAGCTGACTTGGCTCTCACGCAGAGACGACACGCAGATGATCATCATCCCCAACGGGGTGGTCGCGTGACCGTTCTGCATTCGTGGAACGCGTACACCCAACCCCTACACGATCATTTACCGATACGCAGCCGGATCATAACTCGTCTGCTCCGTTGGCTGACTATAACCCGCAGTACCCCCGTAAGCACTAAACCTCACTCTTGGCTTCCGGCGTCCCTGCACCGGAGCCGCATCGGAGTACTCCTCCGCCTCGTCGGCATGGTGCTGCTCCAACGAGCCAGCCCCATACGCAGGAGGGGGCGGCATACGCTGGCTGGGATGGTACAACGGCTCCGGGGCGTGCTGGTACAGGGGTTCTTGTTGGGGGTGGTTGGCGTAATAGGGGTGGTCGGCCTCATCGGGCGGGTAGGGACCAACGCCGCCGGACATGATGCTGCTGTCGCGGTTGTGCATCTTGTAGTCGTTGAGAGCGGTGCTGCTGGCCATGGGGTCGTACTGGCCCAAGCGGGTTTGGCGTCGGTAGACGATGACGTCCAGAGCGGCGGCGGCGATGTGGGATGTCGCAGCGACGATGGTGAATGTGAAGAGGGCCTTGTAGATCCTGCAGACGCTGATGCCGGTCGAAGTGCCCCAGTAGGTTGCGTTGCAGGTCGTTAGGATGGTGTGGGACATGCTCCAGCTTAGGAGGCCGAGGGCGATAAGCCAGAGGACGAGGACGATGCTGTTGGTGACGAGGTTGAGGCGCGGGGAGAGGCCATAGCAGCAGTGGGTTAAGGTCGTGAGGATATAGTTTAGGAGGGAGAAGACGGTGGCTATGAGGAGCTGATGAGTTGAAATGAAGTGTTAGTGGAGTGTATAACACAGATGGTGGGTAATGTGGTTGCCTTACGATTAGGAAAGCCCAGGGGAGCTTGTAGTTGTTGCTATGCAGTTGGTTGATGAATACGGCCAAGATAATGCCCACAATGAAGGTGGAAATTAGGCCGAACAAGCGAATGGTATGGAATGGAATCGGGGGGTATTGGGATGGCTTGACTGATGCTCTGGACCGCATGTTGGCGATGCGCTGGGATGAAGCTTATCCCAATCGCGGCGGGTGTGGGTGTGGGGTGGAATGAGACCGAGAATCCAACTCGTCGATAAGCAATCAAGATGTCGATCCGCTGCGATATGATTGCAGCGCGATAGATGTTAGGATATTCTCATGTACCAAATGGATGGAGGAAGGAAGGAAGAGAAACAGAAAGTAAGGGAAGAGAGAGATGACAACAAACAGGAGAAAAGTCAAAAGGCAAACGGACGTGAGTTGCCATGCAAAGAGCAAAGCCTCGCTGTGGTGGACGATCGCGACTCCACTGCGGGTGTTGCTAAAGAAAGAAGCGGTTCGGGGGAGGATGACGCCGCTGCTGATGAATCTGCCCCGGTAACTGTGCGTGGCTCGCGGTTGGCGTCTCACCGGTGGGCCAGTGTGAAGTTTAACTTGTTCTCCAGCCTCCCCCAGGCCACCCGTTAATCTAACGTGATAGTGATGCTGATGCTGATGCTCCTTTTAATGATCGTAAGCCTGGTATGAGTTTATTTTGGTGTGGTTGTGGAGGACAGTTGACACGTGCCTGACATCTGCCTAATTGGTCCATGGATCCACCCAGGAACCAGTGGGCATCTTCACTACTACTAGTAAGTACTATTACTACTTACTACACCATGTTATCTATGAATACACCATGCGTGATCTTGAATTCACTTCTCCATGAAAGCAGGATGCTAGAGCTTGATAGATGCATGATGTTTTGCTTTTTGGCTCATCGATAAATCACTCATTGTGCTTCATGGTTACTAGTTGGGGATAACTATACTAATGAGAAGCTCTCCACATCAAGCTACCAACAGTAGCTCCCAAATTTATCGAAAGAGCTGTTGATGCTCTAATCTAGCTGCTTCGTGTCACTCTTTTCAGGTACTCCCCCACAATACACACCTGCGGGATGCCGCCACTTCACAGCATCGTGGATACAGCATTCGTATCGATCTGAAGTATTCTGCAATGATTGTTTCTATGCATACGGTGTTAAGTCAACCCCATTCTGTCTTGTCAAACCTTAGACATATTGAGCAACATCAGAACACTAAGACACGTTTCGCTTCCATAGTGAGAAGACGTGTCGCAAAATCTAGGGCGAGCCAATGGAGGCAGTCCCTACACTAAATTTGTTCAATTGCTAGCCATCCGAGTATGCTGTCTGGCATTTGCGGAGATTTTCTGGGGCGATTGTCAAAGTGGAAGTGGATTTGACGCTCTGGTATACTCGAGGCTTTCCTCAAGTTCAAGGGCGATTCTTTTCAGTCCAGAGTGACAGAGACGGTCTAGAGCTAGCCTTTGAAACTGACGGCCTTCTACATTCTTGCCCAAACCCCCGTCTGTCACTGTTATATACCCGAGACGGTCCATTTGGGCGAAATATATACTACTAGATCATGAGGTTCAAGCACGCATCAAACAGCGCAGGGAGTACAATCTTGGCCCTGTCTTGTGACACATTCGTGGCATCCTCTCTCAACCGTCCGGGTTCGATTGGTCCACTATACTATTGGGGTATGTGGAAGTTACATTGTATGCCGGCTATATCATCATGCAATCATTAGGCGCTTTGCGCGGATCTGGCATTGGGAAGCAAAGAAACAATAAGACGGGCTTTATAGCAGCTGCAGGTGAAGTGGAGGGTGCATGTGATGATCTCATCTGGCACCAGAATGGTCCGTGCACCGGTAGTGCCATGCTTGACCGCCTGTTCGCCGGTCGGCGCCAACCGATGCAGTAAACATGTCCTTACTTTCTATAATTCACTCTTCGTCTCCTCGTCCTAAGAACACTACCCTCACAAGCATGGAGTGTCTTCGTTAACCTCAACCATTCTGGGTCTATCCCACCAACACCAATCATCTCCAATACTCATTCGGCTTCTCGTGATAGACAGACGAAGATGCCGCCGCCCCGCCGCAAGAAGCCCCTTTCGCTAAGGATTCGACAATGGATTCATCGGCTTCGCACATGGCGCTCGCCGTTAAACCTACGCGGCAGCCTGACAAGACTACGGGCATTTGAGAGACACCCGGTCTGGGCTCTGGTACGCCTTTTTATCCCGTTTCCTTCGTGGAAATTCCCCGTGTCCGACGTTATGCCGGCGGCGGAAATGATCGGAAACGAAGAATTGCTTCTTCTTCGCCACGACAATATGATCGACCTGGAGAGCATACCGATTTGGCGCGTTCGCGATACCCCCTTGAGATGTTTGTATAGAATGTACGAAGCTATGGCATCTGGTGTATACGAGGTTTTAGGCACCGAAACTGAATACTTTTGGTATCAGAAGGGGTGGTCATTACAGTCGATCAGCGACCCCAGGGACGAAGATCCCGTGCGCTATGCCATCATCGCATGTCTCGTTGAGGAACTTGTCGTTGCGTTTAATTGGCGTCTAAGTCTAGGAATGCGTCGGAACCGCAAGCACATCATCCGAAAGACGGAAGACGACCCGTGGCCCCCGTATACACCGCTGATAGGTCCTGCATGGACGGGTTCTGTTCCGGCGCTCTCGGCCAGCGACTTGGACGGATTACCCGGACGTTACATATTGGAAGGAAAACTCGTCTTAGAGGACGGCGGATTGAATAAAATCTTCGCGCGCCGCAACATCATTACGAATGTTGGCTGGCTTTATACGATCTGAACCGCAAGCCCTACGCTACCACGTTTTTTGTCTCGAAAGTAAGGGGACCATCCGCTTCACCATCTGGCGGTGTGCACGTAACTCCTTGCCAAGTACAGTCGAGAGTTCATAGCGAGCCCATTGCGCAACCCGACTGTCGGCGACAGCCTTTCAAACTACTTGGACCTGAATCATGCCGCACTTGGAGCAATTACTCAACTCCCACCTGCAAGGGACTGAGATGGCTTCAAAGAAACACATCCTCGCCATAGGTTGCCTTGTAAGCAGCAGCCACACAGTTCATGGTCTCGACGTCTGGCATGACGTCAAAGCCATTCTTGTTCAGTGTGCGACAGTACTCCTTATCCAGCTTACCCCCCTTCCTCTCTTTCATGAACTTGAGCATTGCAACGGCATCGGCCAGATCAAGCTCCGCTTTGCGCCCCCTCTCCGCACAGTAGATGCGGCGCAACTTCCGCTCCAGCGCCCATTCCACAGGTGCTGCAAATACGAGCAGGGTGCCACTGGCCCAGAGGACAATATTTTGCTTGATGGCGTCCTCCATCAGGATCTTCCGCGTCTTCTCTGTAACGAACACTCCCACATCTTCGTTGGCCCAGTCCTCCATGTAGTGAGCCTCATTGGCGACTTCCCGGATGGACTTTTGCAACGGAACCTTGATATCCTCATCGTTGGCCCACTCCGGGTCAAGCAGGAAGTCCATGTCCGTAGTTGTCTTTCTGTTCTTCAGGTACATCACAGAGAAAAAGCCCCCTGCCACGATCATCCGGATGGGAGCGAAGGCCATGATCATGGGATCTGTGCCGAGTTTGGCATCCAACAATCTCAACGCTAGGAGCGCGTTATGGATTAGAAACTTTCGTTAGCCCCTGAGGTAGCACCGCGAAGAACTTACCTTTATGAAAGTCCTCCATGTCCAAATACACCTTGCGCTTTGTCATGATTGCGCGCTGAACGGTGCTAGGACCGTTTTCTGTGGACTTGGGAGGGCAGCCGTGGTGCAATGCATGAACGGGGAGATGTTTGTGTTTGTCCTTTGACGGAGAACCTTGGGCGGGTTGGGGGGTCCCGCACCGAGATTCTGGGGTCAAAGCTGGAGGAGGGAGAGGGGGGATCTCTTCCCTTTTAAATAAAATTACTGGAACTGGCACACGGGCCGGGTTGCTTATGTCAGGTTCGTCAGGGTTGAAGTGAAGCTGGGCTTGAATGGCATTCACGATGTTGCCCTATCTCTCGCCAGGTCCCATATTGGGCTGTCTCCTGCATTTGCCTCGCATTAGTTGACACTTGTCGACTGCTTGCTCGAAGGTCGCTCGAGGACCCCGCCAAGCTGGTGAGGCGTCGAATTCCACATACCGCATCTAGACCGATCTGCGTCGGATACGTGGGTGATGCTGGATCACTGTGTATAATTCTGAACTTTGCTTTGCTATATATCACTTGTATAGTCCAGGTTAGCGTGGGTTGCTACGCTGTACATTATAGGATATCCATCAATGTATTATAGAACGTGTACAATGAATTCGTGGATGTCTTGGTCGTGGATGCCATCAATCTCCTCAATGCTTAACATAGACCTGGAATAAATTATTTATAATTTTCTTATCATATAGACTGTGACTTAAGTCATTAGCAGTCCAAATTCATAGCGGTCAGCACACCATCACCAGTAGCGTGATAAGCCCCGTCCCCGAGGATTTCTCCGCAGCCGAAACTGCAAAAACGCGTTATCGGGCTGCTGCCTCCGCATCGCCCTTGATACTTGAACACCTCTCTCTTCCGTCATCCTACACCTGGTACCTTTTCCACATTCTCACAAACAACACCAATCCTTTTCCTCCAGTTACCCCATCAACAACTCACCACCATCTCCCACCGGGATCCAACCCACACATAACTGACTACTACCCCTCACCCACCCCGCGCCAGCACCAACACCAACACCATGTCCACCTACGAAGGTACTAACTCACCCCTCCCAGCTGAACGTTTCCTACCACAACACCAAAACCCAATACTAACAAATAAATAAAACCAAAACAGTGGAACACAACACCACCGACCCCTCCACCACAACCCCCACCAACAACAATAACACCAGCACAACCCCCTCCAACCCGCACCGCCACCGTCGTCCCGACCTCTCAACCTTCTTCTCCGCCCTCTCAGAAATCACCCCGGACGAAGCGCGCCATCGTCCCCATGCCGTCCCCGTCCCCCGAGACGTCAGCGCCGCATTCTATTCCCTAGCGGAGGCATTGGACGTGATGCGCCGCGACGGCGGCGGCGGCGACAGCGGAGCAGCTATCCCCAGCGCGATCGGAGAAGTGGAAGGCGGCGACGAGAACGACCTCCTCACAACGATGATTCAGAGTCTGCTTAGCACGGCGGAAATGCCTCCTAGGGAGGTGGAGGGCGCGAGTGAGGAGTTTTGTGATAGTGCGTGGATACCCCCACCCCTCTTCCCCAACTTGGAACTCATGTAAAGGGTTTGGTTGTGGTTGTTTTTGGCTAACTGTTTACTTGCTGTTTGGTGTAGTGCTTGATCGCGTCCCTCGCACGCAATTAAACTCTTCCCAGGTCTGCCCGATATGCAATAACCCGTTTCTGGAGGATCAGTACCCGCTTGTGGTGCGGTTGCCGTGTCATCCGACGCATTTGTTTGATTTGGAGTGTGTGAGGCCGTGGTTGAGGCTTAGGGGGACTTGTCCGCTTGATCGGACGGATTTCGCCAAGCAGGAGAGGGAGAAGGTCGAGGCGAGGAGGAAGTTGGCGGAGGAGGATGAGGAGGAGGAGTGGGATGGGATGTATGCTTGATTTGTTGTCTCATTCTTTTATTCGAAGGGACTGTTGAGTTGGGGGTAAGGCTTGAATTTGGGAGGTATAATGAGGTATGTGAGAGTGGTTTGTATGGAGTTGGGGTTGGGTGGGTGAGGAAGCGAAATGCGTGCATATAGTTTTGGGTATGGCATGGTAATATCTATTTACTGTATGTAGTGTATATCTTTGTACATGTTCACGTTATGAAAGAATGGCGATGATGCTACCGCTTGTCTGCTCAATCCTTTGTGCGGATGGCCAGTTTGCCTGCCTTGTCGATGACTGCCTCCAGTCCGCTACGTTCCAACATCCCTGCGTCATCCTTCACCACTTCCCGCGCTTCGAGCTCCTCGACCATCTTCTGGTTCTCGCGGTTACCCTCCAGTAGGAACTTCAGGCACATGACGGCGTGTTCCTTGATGTAGGGGTTGTGCGCATCAAAGTTGGTGCAGGACAGGATGGTCTCGACACCACCGTAGCGACGAATTTGGTCTTGCACCTCGGGGCACTTCCATACAAGAGACGACAGAACAAGCACGACGAGTTTCTTGAGGTTGCGCCATTCAAACTCGGACGGATCTTCGGTGATTGGCGGTGATTCGGCCCGAGAGCCGGGGGCATCAATCGGGTCCGGGTCACCGGGATCGTATGGGCGCTCAACTGCAACCGGCGCGGGAGCCGTGTGCTGGGGCTCCTTGGAGGGGTTGTTGTGTCCCAGGTTGAGCGCGCTCAGCTGACCCTTGGGAATGCTGGCTTCGAGCTCCTTGATTAACGTGACTAGGTCGTAGACAATCTCCCATTTGACCAACAGATTCTTCCAGTCGTTGTTCTCTGTGAGCACAGCAAAGAACTCGAGGAACTGGTAAACACCCTCATAGACCCGCTCCATGTCCCACAGATTCAGCGGGAAGTCCTCAGGCAAAGCCCGCCCAGCTCGGATCTGGCCCTGCAGGTAGATCAAAGCGCAAGTTTCGGGAATGATGTTGCCGCGGAAGATCGTGAAGATGTACCGGACAGTAAGGATGTCAACTCTAGAAAGCGGGGCCGGGTTCTTAGTCGCTGTTCCGTTGGGCTGGGTTGATCCTGTAACCGATGCAGGGGAGTACTTGGCTCGGAAGATATGCGTGAGAATCTTGACAACCACCGCCTGCGCGGGCGAAATGATGTCCTTGGGTTGGCCGAAATCGGAGTATGCATGAGACATCAAACCATTTCTCAAGACCGCGTCCATAATCTGAACCATCATCTTGAAGTAGAGTTCGTCGTCAGGGAGATCCCAGGCAGCGATGAAGATCAACAGCTCGCGAAGCAGGTTCCTACCCGTCTCCTGAGTGAGCAAAATGTGACATCTGAGGGCCTGCATATTCCTCGAACCACTTCTCTCCCCACCCTTCAAGCCGAAACTATCCACGATACCAGCCTGGATGATCATTGGCAGTGCCTCGATCTCTGCCGGGCCCAGCACGAGTGGAATATCAGTCAGGAGACCCCGCTGTTGGTCGCCTGGCCGGCCACGATAGTCGTCGTCATCCTCGTCGTCCTCTTCCTCTTCTTCCTCCATACTTCCGTCTGCAACAGCCTCCAAGCTTCGCGAGTCATCGTCACCGACCGTGCCTGCATCACCAGTGTCGTAGTCCTGATCACCGTCGCCAATCTGCGAGCTCTCCTGCAACCGGGCCATCAGCTCGTCTTTAGCCTCCTGCAGGGTTTCTGCCGCTGACTGTGCTGAACGCGGCATGCTCATATCTTCCTCCATCACAGTCGCATCGCCACCCGAAAGCGCACCGTAATCTCCAAGATCGGGAAGATCGGTCCAGCAGACACGTGGGAATCCAGCCGTTGCGCTGCGATCAATCGTAACAATCGCTTTCTTGCGAGGCGGCTCATCTTCTGGCAGAGCAGGAGGTAGGTCCTTAGCCCTGTCCTGGAGATCAGACCATCCATCAACCTTTGCTCCGAGTATGGCGGTAAGAGCGGCGCGAATCTCCTTCACCTGTTCTGGATCCTTCCCCATTTCCTGTATGGCAGTCAAATCGCGTCCGAGCAGCTTTTCCATGTGATCCTTGATGTTAGCAAGAAGCAACATGGCTGCCTCTTCCTTGATGGTGGCAGGCTCTCTCGGGAAGTTTGAGATGGTTTCCAAGAGCAGATCCTCTGCGGTTTGGTCGTAAAGAGCCCTTATCGGGGGATTTACTATCCTCTCTCCGGTCTTTACGATAGGCGCCATTCCTTCCTGCTGACTGCAAGCGGGGTCAAGGGGCTCCCTGGGCTGGATAATGTTCGAGTCGCCCGTTGAGTGGTACCCAAACAAATCTAACCATAGCACCATCTTGCGTTGTTCGTTGTGCATGATGAAATTATGCAAGAACTGCAAGCAGGTGATAAGGAGACGCTTGTATAGGTTGACAACCTTTTGCCAGCGCTCTTCGTTCCTTGCATTCGTCTCCCCGTCAAACCCTCGCGCGGTTACTCTAACGCAAGTATCTACCAGGGCTAAGATTCTCTGATCGAACCCTTTCTCCGCCGCCATGTTCTGCGCCTTTTTCGTAGTGGCGAGGAGGTTACGGGCAATCGTACAGAGATCATTTAGGCGCTCAATGTCCTTGACTAGCGAAAAGTAATTGTAGGCTATTAGGTTCGAAGAGGAGTGATCGTAATTTGCCGTCGGGGGGCTCTTCCATGCAAACGATTGGGATTCAAGGACCGGGATCGCCTTCGTCAGTACGTCTGTGAAGCCTTGCCAGATATCCGGTGATAGGCCAAGGTTATGTCTGTAACACGAGAAAATGGTCAGTATGCAGGAGTGGAAGTAGGTGGCGGAGAGACGGTGGGCCACTGGACGGTGACTCCGATTCAAGACAAGAGAAAAACATCGTCGTACCTGACATCGCTCTCCTGGTGTGTCTTGTATAGAATCTGCTTCCCTGCAGAGAGCATGTGTTCTAAGCGTTTGTCGTCAATCATCCCGCGGGTTTCGTAGTGGCTCAAGGTCCCCGTCAAAATGACCTTCAACATGAGCTCCGCGGGGGTGCATTTCGGCTTGATCTCCGCTGCCGTGCGGTCGGCCATCTTTGACGATGCTTGTGAAGGTTCGTAGCACAAGCAGCTATCCAGCGTTGACCGCGCAATTTATAGTCGGGGAGGGGTGTGGGAATAACGACAATGAGGGACGCTCGGTGGAGAAAGAATCATTGAACCGTCGAGGGGAATTTTTCCGGCTCCGTCCCGGCAACTGCCTTTTCGGGTAATCTTACAAGGTACATGCACGAGGGCCAGAGAATGTGAAGCATTCTTATTTAGCAAGTCATAATTTATGTACATTCAAGTGATGTTAGCAAACTATTTACTTAGACCACCTTCGGCCGAACGGCTAAACCCAAGACATGACGCAGATTGTTCCAAAATCCCAGATCATAGATGTTGTCAATCTCCTTCATACTTTGCACCTGAACCCACCTCCGGTCTACTGGTGCGTCCCTGTTGCTCGGCTGCTTGATCTCATTGGAATCCCGCGATAGCAAGCATCCTTCCTTAGGCGGCTCACCATCGGTCAGTATGAGTACCTGGTCACTACTCACTGGCCAAAAGGACTGGGCACTCTGGTACTCGGCCAACAAGGGTGAGCTGCCATAGATTTCGGCCTTGCTAGATTTGTAAGCCATGCCATCTGCAACCTCTTCTTTCCAGTCTGACCACTTTGAGCTTTCGTTGGTTGTCATGCCAGCCCAGATCAAGTAGGTGTGGTACACGAGAAAGGCTGCCGCCAATGGGGCTGTCATGGTCATCAGCAGGGTAATAGCACCAATGCGAATATCGGCAGCGATAACTACAGCCCATATGTTGCAAAATCCAGTCCAGGTTTGCCGAGTCGTCCGCAAAGGTGAGCCCGGTGGTATCAGTCTGTCGTATGTTTGATACAGGAGAGTGTATCCCAGACATGAGCCGTAGATCAGCATGAGACATAGTGACAAGATCATGGAGAGAAAATAGTGGTAGTTGTGAAGTCCGACACAGTTCATGAGCCAAACGCAGTGATGGTCATGCCGTGCAACGCATGCTTTGCAGATGCTGCAGTGTTTACTTCGTGCCGGCTTGACAATATGACATGTGCGACAACGCTGTCCTGGGTGAAATATGACCTTATCGTATGGATAGCGTTCCATTTCAACTGGGTAATTCTTTGGGGTGATGAATGACTTGGTCGTAACGCTTGCATACAGCAAAACGTAGGGCATGGTGGCAAGGATCGGAATCCATATATGGTGGACTGTGGAAATCCTAGGCCAAGCAGTTGGGATGAACATACATTGCCCTGCAATCATAAGGGAAGAGAAGAATATCTAATATTCAGAGTTAGAGGAGGCCGTTGGATATCAGACACATGGACTAACAAGGATCAACGGGTGATTTTCGTGCAAAATGTAACTACCAGAACAAGTCCAGCAGTGAGACAGCCAGCCATTGAGTAGCCAACTGTCAAGGTAATGAAGCCCATTAGGGATGTGTATCCAAAGAGCTCTATACAGCCAACCAATGGGGGTTTTGCTACAGGAAGCATCTATCAGTTACGGCCCTTACAACGAAATGCTGCAGCCTACCGAAACGCAGGGAGTCTCCCGAATAGCGCCACGAAAACAAACCCAGAGATCCCGAGGATCACAAGTGCAATAGTTCTTATGGCTCCCATCGTTAATAGGTTCTTGATCGTATCTTTGGGGAATTTCTCTGGATTAGTCTGTTGTCTCCCTCGCCTTGTTAGTACGGGGCAAAATCGTAGTCGGAGCAGTAATGCAGGCCAGAGCTATGAAAAGAGGATAATGCCACCCTGTCGCTTAGACCAGAGCTGGCATCATCAGTTGACAGGCTTTGGCGCGCCTGCTTGCAACCACTATTGCCATGTTGCTGAAGCTGCCGCCCAAGTGTCCACCGGGTATTTATTTGCGAGTAACAAGCACGTGACGTAATTGCCCAAAGGGGAAAAAATGAGCGTAACTACTGAACATCATGATTTGGATCCATTCAAATTAACCTTACCTGTACTTTCGTCCTCAACTCTAATTGTGACCTGACTCTTTGCATGAGTTTCATATATATCGATAACGCTAGTCCTCTTTCTGAATAATTGATACCTTCACATGCACACCTTATCTGTGGTTTAGGGTCCTTGACGCGCGGACACGTGAACACGTGATACCGTGTTTCTGTATACCTGCGGGTCTACAACTAAAAACGTTCGCGCTTTTGACCTGACGGTTATAATGACTGAAACGAGCACTACAGGAGACAGTGGTGTATCAGGAGAGGCAACAACGCCCCTCTTTCAAGGGAAGCAGTTCTGGTTGTCTCACAACATCCCCCAAAGGAGATGGTTCAAGGAATTGATTGAGGTACTACAACTATACATCACTAGTATGAACGCGTGACTGATTTATCTATGGAAAAACGGCGGTACTATACGGCTGCTAGAGAAGGATGCAGATATCAGATTGGTTGACCATAAGAGAAAGAATTTACCCGCTGACACGTGAGGTTTCCTCCCTGTTCCATCCTTGACTCACTTGTGTTATCGCATCGCTGGAAACTAGTGCATACTATTTCAGGCTTCTATCATCCAGTGGACACTTACAAGCTATAGGTACTCTTTCAAGTATGTCGAAGACTCACACCGCCGGGGAAAGCTACAGAATCTAGAGAATTATAGAGCTGGGCCTTCTGAAGCACGCCCCGTAGGGGCTACCAACATTCCCACCAGAGGCCACAAGATCCCCTATACTCTTGAAGATGACCAGTTGCTCTGGGATTGGATGCAACCCCACGAGAGAAACCCTAAGGCTTCCATTAGAGGAAATAAGATCTATCAAGAGCTAGCCGAGAAGGTATCAAGAACCACCTCTGAGCTGTGAAGATACAAGCATACTAAGTGTCATTTGCTAGCATCCAAGGCACACGTATCAATCATATCGGGATCGGTACCTCAAAAGGCTCAAGGGGCATCCACGCCCTGGTGGTATGCCAGAAACAACAGATCAACCTGCACCTGATGAGCCCTCCAATTTAGCTACTCGCACTGTCCAGTCTGAGCCTCGAGGAGGGTCTGCACAAGGGGCTGAGTCTACTGCCATCCAAACAAATGACAAGAAAAGGAAACGGGCTTCTGAGGATACTCCTGATGAAGACAATGTAGACAACCCTAACAAGCCCAGTCAGAAGAAACGAGCTACCGAAATCATTATCAACCTTCCAGACCCTTTCATCTCCGAACCTCAGACAAAAGTGGCTGCAGTATCACATTCAGCGACAGCATCCAACGGCCAGAGACCAACTCCTGGGGCAACGGAGGCGAGAGAACGTGGGGCTACTCAGGAATCAAAGGCCCCAGCTAAGGAACCACACCAGCCTTCACAGCCAGACCCTTTGTTTCTAGAGCTCCCATTTTTGCCTTCGGATGATGATCCTGAAGGCGAAGATATGGAGCAGGATATCGATGCATGGATCGATGAACGACTTCATACTGGAAAGGCTCAGCATGAGGAACAAATACACCAAGCACTGCGGTGCACCAGCATGGATCCAGAATTAGCTGACAGGGTCCTGGCTATCCTAGTAGAAGGGAAACCTATACCGGATGATATGCCCGGTGTTTGGACACCTGAAGATGACAAATGCATAGAAGGAAATGAGACTCGAGGCATCCAACGAGTCATGGAGAAGCATGGGACGGAGGCCTTCAACAATCGCTGGGAGTACCTCAGCATGGTCAGAGAGGCCGGTCTTCTGGATACCCTATGAATAGGACTGCCGCAATTTCGATATTCCGGAACTGCGAACTAATAAATAATAATGTACATGGATCCTGAAACGCTCAAATGAGACACAAAGACAAAAATCCGGAAATCACATGATACCCAAAGAGCAGTAGTGCGAATGAGTTCGCGAAGACCTGGTGCAGCTGGCCCAGCTCCGTTTTGTATGCCGGTGTTGGTTCTCTTCAAGCTGGAGAACTCTTATGGGGGTCCATGTCGAGACTAGCCCAGGCCATTGTCTTACACTTTAGGTTATCTTGAACCAGTAGTTGAAACTTCAAAAACACCCTATATGCTTGCTCCTTCAGGACTACTTTGCAATTGCGCCTGTCGTAAATTGGACGATGGTAGATAAAGAACCCGAACCTTAACGAATGGACTATTCAGCCCTCCTTGAAGACCCTGATGAGAGTGATTAGCATATGCTCATATTACAAGGCAATGAATGAGGATGTCTTACAGATGTGATTCATAGAATTGAAGCATCTTGCTGCAAGTTAGCGCCGACAAAGAACCGCGGATCCCAGATAACTCACCTTCTTCGGGCACTTGTCGTAGCACATCTCTATGTTGACCTTTGATTTTCTACCATTCTTCCAGCTGATAAACGCAAGCAAATTTGACGTTCCCGGTTGCCGTATAATTGTTTCCACGGTGTCGACCTCTTTCTCCCAATTGCGAGATGAAGGAACCCACGTGGATGTGTCGTCGCTTTCACCTTCATCGGCCTGCTCTTTTTCTGGTGATTCTGTTGTTGTTTCAGCCCGTGACTTGCGGCGTCTCTTAGGCTCGGGGGTTTTCTCAGGGGCGGACTTCGGAGGTCTTCCCATCGACTTGCGCTTCTTTGTCTGCGGTTGTGGCTTTTCAGGACGGCCCCCCAGGACTCGAAAGTACTCCTCGACTATATCCTTCGCGCCTTCTCTGTAAACGATCCATCAGTGTCGCTGAAGCTGTAGTGAGCGACGTCCAGTAGCATACAATAGATTCTCTTCTGGCTCCCATGTCATGTCAGCGGGGTCATCGTAGCCCTGCCACTTGACTTGTAAAAGGAGTTCGCCCTACCAAATCATTAGCCAAAGCATGTCCTCTCGGTGTCAATTGAACAGGTGTATATAAAGAAAGTCGCGCACCTTCTTGGCCCATTCATGATTCATAATCTTTTCAACAGCGTATCTGTTCATGTCAATCCCTGCTTGCGACAAGGTCGCACGCGCGCAAGCTTACACATCCTCTTCTTCCTCATCCTCGTCCTCGTCCTCATCGTCATCCTTAGAGGCATTCTTTGTGGACCGAGCATCGTTATAGGGAATCGACTCGCCACTCGACGACTCGTCATCGGAAATGTCAGGAACCGGCGCTATAGTATGGTTAGTTTGACGGTCGATCTCGAAAACAGCATAGATGCATCAGTTTGCGGCTACTTACGGGGCATTGTCCTGAAGGAAGCAAAGTTAAGAAGTCGGGAAAACAACTTGGCGGATTTCGTGAGAAGTAGACCCACGGATTAATAAGATCACAGAGTGAATGACAAAGAAATAGACATTAGCGACGATGCGACAATAGTGTAGCTGAGGGTCAAGTTGCTTTGGGCGCAGATGAAATGCCGAGTCGCGCGGGCGCGCGGTGGGAAAATCACGCTATACCCGATATAGAAAGCAGCTCACTAGCCCGCTTTGGACATCTCCAGAATTTCGAATTGCAAGTGTGCCTCCTAGTCCCTCCGCCGTCCGCTCCTCTGCCTTCCCCCCATCGCTCCGATCAACTGTCCTGGGAGTCTACTCGATCCGTTGACTCCTATCTTTGACCCCCTTGCCGGCTTTTATTTTCCGACTCTTTGAAGTGGGTTTTCTGCCAAGTGGCAGACCGTCAAAATGGCGATGCGTATGTTGCAGATACCCCTCACTCGGCATCAACTATACTAACATTCTTTGGCCTCTTTTGCAGAGCTTGATCTTTCTCAAGGTGGGACCTTTCGCTACTCCGGACTTGCTTCGGTTTTGATATCTGTTGCTGACCATTACATCAGCTTCTGTAATGAAGGATGAACAGGGTCGGCCATTCATCGTCGTTAGGGAGTACGTTCCGATCTTCGACTCATATCAACACCAAATGGACGGTTTCTTTCAGGGCAGGTGGCTAATCCGGTTCTACAACACAGTCAAGGAAAGAAGAAGAGACAGCATGGCACGGATGCGGTGAAGTCACACATTGTTGCCGCCAAGACGGTCGCCAGCATCGTCAAGACCTCCCTGGTACGAACCGTCACCGGACTGGCAGAATAAGCAGTATTTTAATGGATTTATAGGGTCCCCGTGGTCTCGACAAGATTCTGATCTCCCCTGACGGAGATATTACCGTTACGAACGATGGTGCCACTATTCTCGGCCAGGTTTGTCCTTTACCATCAGCCGCTACATTCGAGAATATATCTGACCTGTTGATGCTGGAAAGATGGAAATCACGAACAACGTCGCCAAGCTTCTTGTTGAGCTGTCGAAGTCTCAAGATGAGGAAATCGGTGATGGAACGACAGGTGTCGTTGTGTTGGCTGCGGCTATGCTGGAACAGGCGGCCGAACTCATCGACAAGGGCATCCACCCTATTCGGATCGCAGACGGTTACGACCAGGCTTGCGAAATCGCCATTGCGGAACTCGACAAGATCAGTGATGTGATCCCCTTCACCAAGGAGGACACTTCGAACCTGCTTAAGGTTGCCAAGACCAGTCTGGGTAGCAAGATGTACGAGGATTTCTCCGTTTGCCCCTTGGGTCCTGCATGCTGACCCTTGTACAGTGTTTCCAAGTCTCACGACCAGTTTGCGAATATCGCTATCGATGCAGTTCTCTCCGTGGCCGACCTCGAGCGCAAGGATGTCGATTTCGAGCTAATCAAGGTTGACGGCAAGGTTGGAGGTGCCCTCGAGGACTCCCTCCTCGTGAAGGGTGTCATTGTCGACAAAGATTTCTCCCACCCCCAGATGCCCGACGAGGTTCGGGATGCCAAATTGGCTATCCTGACCTGCCCGTTTGAGCCCCCGAAGCCCAAGACCAAGCACAAGCTCGACATCACGTCGGTTGAGGAGTTCAAGAAGTTGCAAGAGTATGAGCGGGAGAAGTTCACAGAGATGATCCAGAAGCTGAAGGACTCTGGCGCCAACCTGGTCATCTGCCAGTGGGGTTTCGACGATGAGGCCAACCACCTTCTGCTCCAGAACAAGCTCCCCGCCGTTCGCTGGGTCGGCGGCCCTGAGATCGAACTGATTGCCATCGCGACCAACGGTCGTATCGTTCCTCGTTTCGAGGATCTGAGCTCGGAGAAACTCGGAACCGCAGGCCGTGTTCGTGAGATGACCTTCGGTACCACTCGGGAGAAGATGCTCGTCATTGAGGATTGCGCCAACAGCCGTGCTGTGACGGTGTTCGTTCGTGGAAGCAACAAGATGGTAAGTTCGAAGATATCGAGGAGATATCAGGGGACATGTGCAGGATGCTGACACCCTCTTAGATCATTGATGAGGCCAAGCGTTCGCTCCACGATGCTCTCTGCGTCGTGCGTAACTTGGTCCGTGACAACCGTGTTGTCTACGGTGGTGGTGCTGCTGAGATTGCTTGCTCCATCGCTGTTGAGGATGCCGCTGTCAAGGTATGTCGATGTCCTTAGAATATGCGTCTAATCACATGCTAATGTCATTGTCAACAGAGCCCCGGAATTGAACAATACGCCATGCGTGCCTTCGCTGACGCCTTGGACGCCATCCCGATGGCACTTGCTGAGAACTCTGGTCTCAGCCCTATTGAGACCCTGGCTTCGATCAAGTCTCGCCAGGTCAAGGAGAACAACACCCGCCTTGGTGTGGACTGCATGATGACCGGCAACAACGGTTCGTATAAGGCATTCCTTGAAACCCCTGGCATTTTCGCTAATTAGCCATCTATAGACATGAGAGAGCACTTCGCCATCGATCCCCTGATCGGAAAGAAACAGCAGCTGTTGCTTGCTACTCAGCTCTGCCGTATGGTCCTTAAGGTGAGTCGTCCAACCAGTCTTCTCCTATTTGTCCTGGAAACGCAGCTAAGTCGAACTGAAACAGATCAACAATGTCATCATTGCGGGCGACGAGGACCAGGATTTCTAGATTTCTTCTGTATACAGGTTTTTTTGTTTCGATGGCTAAAAGTGACACAAACACTGGCGTTGCAGTCATGCGGAATCGATGATACTACATATAGTTCTTGCAGGTAATCAATCAGTCTCGGTGGTGCTATGAACGATAAACATAGCAGTTACATAGAATCAGTGAAATGACAGAAATGACATTCATCCAGTTCCGGAGTAGATGTAGGAGAAGGAGATAGCAAAGCCCTAAGAAACAGAACAAAGGACCAAAGAATGATGGGTTAGCTACTAAATGAGGCTGAAATAGAAGTGAGTGGACGAAAGTAGTAGTTGTGATTGTAGTGACATTTATCATAGAATAAAAGTATCCCGGACATCTCAACTCTACTTTGAAAACACTATCTTCTAGTAGTCCTTATCTTAGCAACAAAATTACTAATAAGTAGTTTCACTAACTAGGCTTTATATACTATAGTTAGCATTGTAGTTGGATTTACCGACAGACAAATATCACGCGCTCAGCTTCTATACTCTATGGAACTATGAAGTCACCGTATCTCAAACCCACTCCCTCCATACTCGTGAATCATACATGGACTACTATAACCGTGATTCTCAGTATCAAAATCCCCCTTCCTCAAACTCCCCCGCCTCCCGAGGTCGGAAGATACCGCAACTTCGTATACGATAATCACATCCTTATCAGACCTCACAATTAATGAACACAATGGATCAGATATGTCTTCCCCGATTAAACAAATCCACTTAATCAAAGATAGTTATCTAGCCAAGAGAGACACCCGGAGCGGAAGTGGGAAAAGGAAGGGAACATATCCGCCCGAGGCGGATAATGCACCTGCATCATAGT